CTATTATAACAGAGGACTTGACAAGTTATGTCCAACAATGGTCCCATGAAAACACAACCAAATTGCGAAAGCGAGGTTAGACCCCCGAAAGCGACACGCAAGCAGGCGTCGTCGACATTAAGAAGATAAGTTTTTTTCTTTGTACCTTACAGGATGTGGCGTTTGGCTTTTGACTAGTTTCAGATGGTTTATCCGGCTTTCCTTAATGGGTCTTAGTCTAATAGGTCAGATGCTATGCCCCGGTGCGGCTGGCCAGAATATGATTTTTCGTTTATAATCAGAGTTTCGAGACTACCAGTAAATAAGTTATGAGATTTAACAGCCTATTTTGTTTGAGGCGATGAAGGACTGGTAGTTGATTTTTCTCACTATGATATGAGTAGAGCAGAGATTTCCGTAAAATATTACATATCCTTGCTTTCTCGAAATTGTACTTATCCAGAGAGAACCGCAGTTTCGACCTCGCCTAGGTCTTATCAGCACTCCTGACAGGACGGCATATGAGCTTGATACGTTAACCATTCTGTTGCAGAAACTTGTAGCATTTAACTGCATCTGCATCTGGCTGTTACATAAACTTGTTGTGCAGAGATTTTGGAACACAAAATAGTCTTCAAGGGCTTATGCCTATAGAATAAATTAAGTCGAGCACATAGAAAACACAGTTAATTGGACTAGGCACTTAGCCGGTTATAGCAAATCCACGGTTTTGCTCACGATTGCAGATCCAAATGAAATTACTCGCATGACTAGCGTCTTAAATCGAGGAATTGAATTTAATAAATTGAGCAATAAATATTTATGGTTGATATTTTGGACTGGTTAAAAAATAAAATAAAGGTCAGCGCGCAACATGGTGACTCTTTTAGATTAGAGTTTGATGGAGCCATATTGATTAACTTATTATCCGAGCTATGTATATTATTTTGCTTTGGTCTTATTTCCGCAACTTGGTCGGAAGGACAGGGAGAACCTGTGGAGCTTATCCAGTCCTGCGTCCTCCATGATGATTTCTAGCATCGGATCGTTGACTTGGTACATTCCAAGACGTTTCGCCGGCATCGTATCCGGAAATCATTATTAATAATATGGCGTACTGGGTACGTTCCGGAAAGTCCCCCTGTCGCTCCAACCATTTTGCAAAAACGAGCCCAAGCAAACACTATATAACTAAAGGAGACTGCGGCCAAACCTAAGGCTACAACATTTTGGTCTTCATGGGGCTAACTTTAATTAAGAATAGCTCCGTATTTTAAATATATTATCATACAACAACATTTATTTAGCATATTTGGCTATCTGGTTAGAGATCACATTTCTTTTTTTCTCTTTTAGTTTTTATTGATTGGAATTTCATTTCGTATGAAAGTGTATTAAGAAGAGATTCGAAGGTCGATCTCACCAGAAGATTACGATTGAATCCCATTGTACTTCAAATCTCTTCTTCATAAACTTTCATGCGAAATGAAATTCAACCAATAATATTATCTCAGGATATTTATCAAAACCCAGTTACTCATCATATTTTAGTTTTTAATCCCAAACTTTATGAATGCATCGATCATTGTCTTTAATAAGTATGAAAAAAACTTCATCTTCTATAATAGCTTATAAAGCCCTGTTAAGAGTTTCCACTGTTTAACTACGTTTTTAAGGAAAATGCTAACGAGTTACTTGTGAACTGACCTAAAATTGTGGATAGATTATCATAAAAACCGATAAGACAATCTTACTACCGTTTTAGGCTACTCAAATGGGTCGCGCCACTTTACGCGGTGGCATTGACTCGGACCAGATACGTTCTATACTTTCTGACTTACGAACCGCCGCTCGTGCACTTAACACTACTGGGCCTCTTCATCTGCTCTACCTCTGTGTACCCGCTCGTGATGCTATTGAACAAGTGAAAGTGGATTGGGCGATCCTATTTGAAAGTGTTACTCATCTTTCCGGGGAAGCAGGCATTCTTGGACTTATAGGCTTCACTGAGGCCTATTTAATGCGCAAGGCCACCACCGGACATGCAGGACCGGTCTGTGAATTATTTTATTATTTGCTTTTTTATTTATTGTTAGCATCGGGCTCTATCTGTTAATATGACCAAAAACTAGTAGATCAAATTGTATGCACTGATCTATTATCGCAAGACTAAATTTACTGCAAGAAATTAACAGCTGTTTTTACTCTTGGTTGCATTAGGAGCCGAAGGTCAGCTAGCTGAATTTCCTAACATTGATATGAGTAAGCCTCATATTTCCATTTATTTTCTCGTAGCCTTGCTTCCCAAAAGGTATTCTTATCCAGGAAGAGTTTTAATCTTTCCCCGGTATGATCAGCAGTCTCAGCTCTTATTAAAGATCTACTGCTAGCTTCGAAACCTACTTAAACTGATTATAGAAATTAAGTTCGCTGTTGTGCTGATTGAGGATAACTATTTGATTTAGCTCGTTTAGATGTTTTTTTTCCTCATTTCTGATCCACTTTTTTTTTAACTAAATTTAATATATACGTCGCATCTTTTCATTATTTTGTACAAATACACAAACATACATGTGCACAACTACGCGCTTTGTTGTTACGTGAACATTCGCATGGGTTCAGTATCAGCGTGATGAGACTCCTTTACATCGCCTATATGTGGCTTTGGCTCTTTCTGATCTATGGCCCGGAGGTGGAAGCACTGGAGTGAATCGAATACAGCCAACTCAACCACAACCACTGTGGCAAGTCGCACAGCGTTATAGGATACCAAGAGGGAGTTTGCAAAGCCTTGTCCAGGCCACAGCCAGTTTGGCTGCCTCTCTTGGTCAGGCGATTGCTGCCGAATACTCTGGAGACGCAGAGCTATGGGCATTTGCTCATCTCTTACCCGAATTCTCTAACCGATTAGCCTATTGTGTTTCCAGTGAATTGCTTCCTCTTATGGAACTTCCCGGCATTAAGAGGGTAAGACGACACTATACTAGCACTGTTTTTTGAAATCTCAATAGTTAATACAGGGTGTCTGTCCTTGTTTTCGCGACTTAGTCATATTGGTATGAAGACTTAGAGAAACGCACTTAGTCCGAAGTTT